GTACTTGTCTCCGGCTTTCCGGACTCTCTGGCCTTGGGATGGGCCAATAAGTGGTCTGCAATGGCATCTCCTGTTGTCAGCGCAAGTTCGCGTCAACACCCAGAGGTCAGCGGATAGCAGGCCTGGCGTTGGCAGGATAGCACTGGTCTAGGCCTAACGGTGAGTGGCAAGTGGTCCTTTGTGTGTGCCCAGGTGTGTTGTCGGTAGACCCGTGTGTGTTTGTGTGCTGGGCGAAAAAAGCCCTTTTGTCCGGGCAAGCAGATGATGCGGCTCAGCATATTTGCTCTGGTTAATTGGCAAACTTCTCCTTTAATCTGCCTCAACTCGTTTCGCCTCGTTCGTCTCGTCTTGTCTCGTCTCGTCCCGGTCTGGCCATCTGGACTGCGGTTGCTTTGACGCCTTGCCCTGGTCACCGTGACTACGCCTCCCCAACGCACATGTGGGCCTCACCAACAACCCTCGGCCGGCCGGTTTTTCGACTCACGCGCACTCGGTGAAGACGCTAGCCTCGGCCGATCCGACGAGCCTCGACCGAGGCAACCGAAAAAGTCAGTACTGACGAGTCAGAGGGTGGAGCCAGGCTCAGCCGAGTCGAGTTGTGAAAGAGGAGCCGAAGTTGGCGCGTTGTGTCGCCTAGGCCTGGCCGGCGAGCATTTGGCCCTGGCTCCTCTGGGCCAGGCCGAACACAGACTTTCGGTGTACGCGCCCCCGGCAACAGCAGCCCTCTCCGACGGCCTCCCTCCTCAGGCCGGCTGCTCTGCTGCCGGCCTCGGCCCCGGAAACTACCTGTCCGCAACCTTGCCCCCTTCCAGCGGGCCGGCCTCCTTGTTTCCTCTGGTCGCCTTGCCAACCGGCGCCCAGCTGCCTCAGTTCGCGATAGTCGCCGCCGATCCGGCCGCCATCAGCGCCCTCCTCACGGGCCAGTTCTCGGCTCGTGCCTTCCTACAACACCTCTCTCAGCTATCCTCGGCCTTGCCTCGCCAACCCACGCTGGCGCCCTTCGCCCCGCCCCCTCCTCCTCCTCCTCCGCCTCCGCCTCCGCCTCCGCCTCCTCCTGCTCCTGCTCCTCCTCCTGGCCCCGGCGACGGAATCGCCGTCTCCCTCCGTCCGTCCTCCAGCCCCACCCTCGGTGAGTCGGCTCGCCTCGACCTCCACGACACCAGTCGCCAGGCCTACCAACAGCCCTGCCCCGTGGAGCCCCACCTCGCCCCTTTGAGGCCGCCCTCGGCCCTCCCCGATCACCTCCTCCTCGTGTTGCCCACCGACAGCTCGAGTCACGCCTCCGACCAGCTGGTGGGCCAGCCTCTGCCGGAGGCAGAAGCCGTCGACTCGGCCACGGCGCCGACTCGTCGCGAGCCCGGCCTCCACACGGAGCCAAGGAGACGGACATGCGGTGACCCGAAGGCTGCTGGCCCCGGAGAAGCCCATCCGTCGTCAGGCCGCCAGGCGAGGCCTGGTCTCCGAGGGCCAGACGAGACGTTGGCGGCGGAAGACGACATCCTCCGACCTCTGCTCGGCCCAGAGCGGACGGCTGTTTCGGACGAAGGTGAAGGCGAAGGCGAGGGCGAGGGCGAGGGCGAGGTCGAGGGTGAGGGTGTTTCAGCCGTCGCCGTCGGGCCAACCGATACGGGGCAGATGAGCGGGCAAGTGTCTGAGGCGAAAGCGGCCTGCTCGGCCGGGGGCAAGCGGCGCATCGGTCCGCCGCCGCGGACGCTCCGCTTTCTGGAGGCGCGCGACCCGAACGCCCACGAGGCGGGTCACGACGAGCGCTGGGTCGGCAACGAGGCCGAGGTCGAGGCCCGCCGGCGCGGCCCCCTCTCGGGACGGCAGCCGCAGAAGTTGGACCCCGCCGCCTTCTTGCAGTGCGACCGGACGAACCGGCAATCGAGACGCCCGACGTCGACGCATCCAGTCGCCGAGACGACGGCAGACGAGGCCGAGTCGCCGACGGGCCAGCCGGCCGGCGAAGCGCAGCGCCACGACTCCATTTTCGACTATTACCAAAGCCTGCGCCTGTCCGAAAAACACGCCGGCCGTCTGGCCTGTCACCGTGGCGACCACGCGCCCACCAACGGGCTGGCCCGGCCCGCGGCGACACGGCCCTCGGCGCGCCGGCCGCCGCTCATTCGCGCCTCCACGGCCTCGGCCGAGGCCAACGCGAGTCTGGCGAGTCGGCGAGCCGGGCTCGTCGGCGACGAGGCGACTGGAGAGGCGACGCCGCCGCCGGCGACTCGAAGGACGGGCGACGGCGACTGCGACGGCTACGGCTACGGCTACGGCTACAGCTACGACTATGGCGACGGCTATGGCGACGGCGACGGCGACGGCGACGTTGGGACGCGACCTCTGCCGGCGACAGACAGGACACTCATGTCGGTGGCGGAGCGTG